CACTTGCACTGTTTTATGTTTACATGTTTGATGACAAACAGCCTTATGTTTATAAGTGACAGTTTTCCTGCTAAGTACCTGCATGTCATAAGCATTTGAATTAAAATTACCATATTGAAATCAAATCTGATGTTTTTTAATTTTTATTTGGTGTGCGTTGGAACAGGGGTAGTCTTATACGGTGAGTATAGCCCAAACTATATATTTTAACTGGAAAAGTTGGGGGTCGTCTTATACGCCCAGTCGTCTTATACGCCGGAATATACGGCACTGCAGGTACTACAAAAGGGCAATGAATCATCAATCTCTTTGCATTCAAATCACTGATTCACCACCCATATGTCCAGACTCCTTGATTTAATAAACAACACGTGTAACTTCTGTAAAATGTGTATCCCAGTTAATATTTGGCTATTCAAAATGTAAGGGGAGCATGTTCAAACGCTATTCTTTAGTGAAGAAAACAATCTATTTCCCTTCCAATAATGATTATTTTGAAATAAGGGACATATTTTTATATTGAGGATTACCTTGGATTCTTTTATCTACCCTTATATGTACTGTATGTACAAATGTACAGTGGCACATAAATATTGCTGTGGAATGTTATTAACCTCCAAATTTTGAGGGTTGCGTTGTTGCTGATTTTCATCTTGAGGCTAAACAGCACTTTATTTGGGGTTGGCTGGGCAAAACGTAACTAAGCAGGGATGAACTATCACAAGAGTTTTGTGGGCATGTGTGGGTATTTCCAGAAGACCTTGGCTGAGTACTTCTGAGTGATTGTGGCAGCTCATAACTTTGAAGATCTAGAGAAGCATTTTTGGACATATGCATATTTTCCTACAATGGATAAAAGCATACATACATGTCTAGTGATCACTATTGCCAGATTAAGCTAATTAGTCAAAAGATATCTATTTAAGCAAATGTAATTAGTCAATATTACAATATTAAGCAATCTAGTAAACCAATCATATGTTGTTGAACTATATAAAAAATATGTTACACTTTCTAAGACTTACCTTCTCTGCAAGCAGTTCTCTAATTTTGCTGGCTTGAAGGCGAAACTTCATTAATTGAGCTTCCATAACCATGCATCTTTCCTTCCAGTTTATTATTCTTTCTGGCTCTAGGAAGTCTGCCATATTTAGGCTTTGGAAAAAAAGAGAAAATATTCAATAAGATTTTTGACTGCTAATATACATACATTTACATATATTATACAAATTAAAAGTATTTTAATTGTCAAATAAGTATGTTTTGATTATTTAAATACTTAGCATAAGATTATATCTTTACGCATACTACAAACTTATGATGGGTGTTATATTTGCAAAATTGTACATTCATATCAACTAGATCAAGAAAAAATCCCAATTCTGATTGTAAAATGTCAAGTTAACATGAACTCATTTATATTGCAATAATACAGCAATTCATGGATAAAGATTAATTATACATCATATTGTTTAAATGCAAATCATCTTTCCCTTTTTTTGAATTAAGAAATCTGTTATAGGAACAATTCATAGAACATCTTAGTGACTCATAAGAACTTAAGAAATAAGTTAAAGATATAAGGTAGCAATCATACACACTTAGTGGGTTCCAGTCAAATAAATGGGCTTTATTTAACTAGATATGTATTAAAGCTTATATTAAATCAAATAATTGACCACAAATAATATAGCAAAAACTTTCTGAAATGATTAAAAAATAAAATCTAAATTAATTTTGCTGATACAACTTAAAGATGATCAACTTCTCTTCTCAATTTTTGTTGTTTTTCTTTTAAATAATTATTTATTTTTATTATTGTTAAAATGTAATACAAATATAAAAATGACAATTGTTTAATAACAAAATTATTCTCAACCTTCAGCTTCTGTGTAGATTACAACTATTGTATTGCTCATATAACTTTCTGATTTCCATTATTGTAAAGAGTTTTTTAGTTATAATTCCAGAAAATTATTTGCTTTACATTTTTTCAGAAGGCAAAGGACTACGGAAATTTTGCTGGCACAATATATGCTGTTTACATTTGTGGAATGAATGATCTTATTTATGAGTCAATGATTTCCCGTCTCTTATTTGATTCCCCAAGGGAAAAATAAATGAGTTCATCACTTTGGCTTGCTAGTGTTCTGATTCAGCATTATGAACCTACACACATTTTCCCTCCTGTGCCTTTTTTGTTTCTTTCATTTTAAAGTATAAAGTAACAGCACAATCCCACTGATGCTTATTTAACTTATTTTGAATTAAACTTGTATCTTTATTTAAATGTAAATTAATTTTCTTTCTGTTTGGTAGGTACATAACTGTTTTTATTTAAAGAAATTATTTCCCATACTTTAACATCATGATACAGGGTCTAAAATTTCACTGTTGAATATATTAACTAATATAAGGCACTTATGAAATAATTAATTCAAAATATCAGTGAAATCAACATTGTCTTTTCAGATAAAAGTTTATATTGTACACTGAAGTGGATAAAAAGTTGTTCTTTTTAAATCGCAAGAAACACCCACAAAGTTCAGGGAGGTTAGGTTTTGCCGAAAATACTTTCCCAACACATAAAGTAAATAAGCATAAAAAGGCAGAACTTTCTTTTCTCTATAGCCAATTATTTCCCTCTTTTACAGCAAGAAACCACCTCTTTAAAATGATGTGTTAGCTGCAGGTTGTTACATAATATGATAAGCCAAACCCATACAAAACAAACAAACCAAAATATCCTATACATTATGGCTTAGCACCCTATATCACCCCAGCTATTACCTCACACATTAGTCTGGTTTACAGGTTTAATATGGGGATAATATAGAGATAGAGGGAAGAATCGTTTAAGCTACTTTTAACTGTAAGATGAAACACAAGATATGGCTATAATAAATCAGTAAAGACAGTATATCCATAGAGAAATTTCTGGTGTAAAAAGTATTGGCTATAATATTTCCTATACCGCAAATAACATTTACGTATCGTACTATGTTATAGTGTGTTGAATAAAGTTTGTTTGCCCAGAGTTGCTCTGTGAATGAGATTGGTGGTTTCTAAATTTGATAAATAAATAAATAAAATTGCCTGGGTTCATACATTGCATTAATTAATGTTGTAAACCATTCTTTATTTTCCAGAATGGATAGTTTCAAGTATCATACTAAGTCAATAGCAAACAAATGATGTTATGGTTTAGCACTATACCGTACATAAACCCAACCATTACCCATGAGTAGGCTGCCAAATAAGCAGCAATAAAAATACTGATTGGTGGCTATTACCTAATTCCATTATTTGTGTAATTATGTATTATTTATTTATACTTGGGCATATTTAAACAACACTGCAGTCACCTTTACAGACATTAGGCTTATGGTATTATAATTGCCATGTTTCTTCCATCATCAGGATATATACTGTAATGCATTACTATTTTTATTGCAATAGTTTTACTGGCAAGATGCGTTACTTTATAAACTTGTACTGAAACCTTCTAATTCCACTACTGTACACTGATTAGAAAGGCCTATTTCAGAGAATGATCCTTCTGGAACATGCTGATCATTTCCTATACTGAGCTTCTTTAAAAATTTCTTGCAGTTCAAGGCTTTTCCACTTATCACAAGGGAAAAGATTACTGACCATATTTCCAACTCAAAAACAATTTAGCATTCTGGGAGCCTGGCCAGAATGAAGAGCAAAAGAATTTCAAAGTGGTTTTCAGGATATGGAGCAAGAGTGGGTAGGCCTCAAGGGCAGGGGGCTTTTAAAAAAAAGAGAGAGAAAAGAAAAAATGCTCCCAGTTATTCACAGCCAGGTAGAAAAGGCACACCTTGAGAACTATGGATTCTTAGCTCAGGCATTTATTTTGTGTACCAGTTCTGAACAGAGCTCGTAGTTTCTCAATAAATTCCACTCCTTGTTGTATTTCTGTAGGACAATGTATGGCAAGTAGGAAGAATGTAATATTGTTGATACTATTGTTGAAACAGTCTGATGTCAGAAAACTTTCCTGATTTAGCATTACCATTCAATCCAGTTCAATTCAATTCATGCAATTCAGCTGTTATTGTTGAAGTTATTATTATTTAGCCTCTATCCATTCCTGGTAAGTAGATATGCCACATTTCCCTTGGCTCTTCTCCTATTTGTAGGATAGTGACAGTTGAAAGAAAAAAAATCCCACTTGCTATTCAAAAAGTATAAAACTCCAGAATAGTACTTTTTCTAACACTGGGTCTAAACCCAAACTTAGCCTCAAAATGATTTAACTCTTGCATGGGGGTGAACACTGAACACAGAGTGCCTTCTCCTCAGGACAACTACTCCTCACGCTTTTGGTTCCTGTAATGTGAAAGTGTCATTTCCTAGAACTTAGATCTGAACCCAACACCTCATGGCATCAAATTTAAGATAATGATTTCTCTTTCATTCCATTATGGACACCTTACAGAATTTATAATCATACCAAATGTATGTAACTTGACACATAGGTAAGCCATACCCGTAGTGGGTTAAAAAGAAAGAAATACCCTTCTTCTCAGATGCCTGTTAACAAATTTTGCTAAAAGAAAGAAAGAAATGTAGGGAGAAAAAGCACTCAGAGATCTGATCATCTCTCATCCCTTCAGGCACTTTAATAGTGGTGTAGAAGTTAGTTTGTGAGTGACTCAAAGCATGATGTCACTAGCAATATTAACAACTTTGGACATCTCTGGGAGTACAATTGCTTCTCATCCTGCCTCAACTAATCCCTGTCCCCCCCCCCTTTTTTTTTTTTTGCTGAGCCAAAGAAGGAAAAGGGGAAAGAAGAGGCAGGACTAGGGGAAAAGACGGCTCCTGCTTTCCCTGCTCTCGGCAGGCTATGGCTCCTCGTCGTGCCGTCTTAGCTCGCTCGGTGTTTTTCCCCGAGAAGAGAAAAAACGAGGGTCATTATCCGTCCCGAAACCCCCCGTCCCTCTCCCCCCGAAGTTAAGGCACACCTGCGGACGTCGTCGTGAAGTTTCCGGCCCTTCAATGACTTTAGTGACGGGCCCGCGCCCCTCTCCCCAAGATCTCAGCGCCTCTCCCGGACAGCCCGCTCAGCGCGATAGGCTTCGGCAGCACCATCTCCTCGCTCGGCAGGACAGGGGGCGAGGGGCCCGGGCTGAGCGGCAGTTCTCCTGGCCATTCAAACAGCCGCTTAGGCGGGACTTGCAGTCCACTCCGGCCTCTCCGCAATGAGGGTGGCGTTTAGGCTGCAGGCTCGGTGGGCTAGGGGCATCCATCGCCCAGAGAAGCGAGCAGAGTAAAATCAAGTTGTGGGGCGAGAGTAGTATTGGGCCTCCCTGTATGTTGAAATCGTAGAGGCAAAATTGGACACCCCTCGCTGAAAAGCACCGTACTATGCAAAATAACCCTGCTGAAGCCCATTGCTATCGACCTACATAGATGTGGATGTATCAAATTAACCCTAAGGTCCCGTCGGTCCTTGGTCTTACTTTCCGAAAAAGCAAAAGCTTTCGAGTTTTCAGAAATCTCAGCTCAGGCATGGGAATTAGAGGAGTGCCAATCATGGTTTAGCAAGCTGCCAGGGTGGTATACAATTAAATAAGATAACATGCACATAGAACGAGAAAGAACAAATAACATCGAGCAATAAAAGACACTCCAAACAACTGTAAAACAATTAATTATAACCATCAAAACCAGTTATTAACAACTGATAGAATACCTGAAAAACTGAAAAGTCTCATTAGCCAGAAACATCCCAACATGTTAAATTGGGGAATGTGCTGTCAGTAAAACACCTCCAATAGAACAGAATATTTGTAGCTCAAGTTTGAGTGGTGGAGTCCTTGATACTCTCGGAGCTTGTTTGTTTGCAGATGTTTCATTACCCAACTAGGTAACATCATCAGTGCAACTTACACTATAATAAACAGAGAATAAACCCTATATTCACTTGAGCAATGAAACATCTGCAAAACACACACACACACACAAAGCTCAGAGAACACCAAGGACTCCACAGCTGCTTAACTGCAGGGAAAACCCTCAGACAAAGGTTGGGCATGGTTGGGCAGATTGGGAAGGTGAGAAAGGAAACTCTGTCCAGATTCAGAGGCTGGTCTTACTTCATCAAAATGTTACTGCTTAGGTAAGGCCTCTTCTGCACAAAAGGGTATCCCTATGATACCGTACTGCTTATGTGGGGCTACAGACACTCTCCTCCTGTCCTCTTGCCTCTTGGGACACCCCAAAGTACCAGGCCCATTCCTTCCCGATTTTTTCTCAGGAGCAGCTAAGTAGTCAATCCCCTCCTCCTCTTTTGTACCCTTTAATTGGCTTTCTGGATAGAGAGAGCACTAACTAATTCAATGAAGCAATGAAGTACATTAGTGGGGATGCTAATAAAACATGTTCCAAGGATTTTAGAGCTGAGCGTGATATTTGTGTGGAAGTGTTTACTCTGAGAAGTTCTAAGCAGGGTTATCTGCAAAAAGCTGAGCTTTTGGGCAAAATGATATGTGCATCATTCTGCACATGCCCAACTGCATCTTTTTCCTTTGATCGTGAAGCACAACCCACTGGGGAATAATTATTTGTTGTTTCATTTCTTTCTGTAAAATGTCATAAATTGTCCCCATCACCCACTAGGATACAACACCCCCCCCTGCCAAATCCTGATAATTTCTTCACATACTTGGCACTTTTAAAATGTTGCATTTTTTGTACTGGTTCTAATACTGGCTGTGATTACATTGTCTTATTTAATCTTGGTTTGCTGAATAAGACACCACTAGTTAGATTTACCTATTGCACTAAACCATGAATCACAGTGTTCAGAATAGAGTTCCCCTGCCAACTGGCAGGACTCAAGACATTCCCAGTTATATATCTTTTCAGGCAGACTTCCTCAATTTATATCTTTGTGAGAGTTGTTTACTTAGTATGTAGCAAGAGACTTTTACAATCTCTCTCTCTCTCTCTCTCTCTCTTTTTTTTTTTTAAAAGTGTTGTTTTATTTCTTGGAAGACTAGTCTGATTCTCCACAAAGGAAGGGGAGGAATGGGCTGATTCTGCTAGTTATACATTTTAAGTTTATAAGGCTAGGATGTGACACTACAGCTTTTATTTCACGTATTTCATTTATTCTTATTTTTTTCCTTTTAAAATGAGAAAGTTATATAGTTTGTTCTGTTAACCAAAGTTAGCATGTTCTGGGAAGATAATCGATAATAGACAATTCTGTAAGTAAGTTCCTTTTGAATATTTTTATGGGATAGAAAGCATACAGTGTTTATACATAAAAGACTAAAGAATATTTTGTACTGCCATCTTCTATAATCCAATTGTAAAATCTATATACAATGAACAAATTATCTTCCACTTTAACTTCCACATTGCAAGCATTTATATGTGCAATAAATAGTGTGAAAGGCTCAAATGGATTGTGCGGATACCCAAAGATAACAGTTTTAAAATTGAATATACATTTGTAGCTATTGTGATTAAATAAATACCATAGGCTTGGTGAATTCAAAAGAGCTTTTAGGGCATTTTTTCCACAAATAACATTTAATTGTATCTTTTCCTATTTGTGTCATAGTGGACAATTGTTCATGCAGGACAGAATGCAGAAGAAAAACATGAATTACACATGAATCCCAATTATGCTGCTGCAGTTTTTAAGCAAATAATTAAATATTTAAAATATTTTATTTTGCTTTTCATTAGATATCCAGGGAAAAGAGTTAAAAAGTCAAGATGGCAGCCACTCATGTGATCAAAGCTCTGATTGTTATGTATGTTTACAGTATCTATCATGCAGTAAAGTAAGATTGACTGATATATTATTTGAACATAATAGAGGTAAAGGTACAGTACAATTGCTGTTTTCCTTTATTTAAAAAAGCTATAGAAAGCTACCTTAAAGTGGAAAATTAAAATTCTACAGACTTACAAAGGATTACCTTTTTATTGTGTCATTTAATTATTTAGAATAATTTTTGTATCATCCTATTCAAATATTTTGAGGAGTATACAATAAAACATGAGTATAAAAGAACCATTTAACAAATAACGCCTCATAATTAAAACATTAAAACACAAATGAATACACACAGATCAAACACTAATGAAAAATGATCATCCAAAAATTGTAGCTGGATATCAAATGACTATTGTTTTTTTTTTTTTAATGTATTTGGTTCCTTCCTGAACATTAGAAGTGATGTACAAATCTATTACCCCTAATCTGCCATTTATCTATACTAAGAATTTATTAATAGAATGCTTGTTATATATAATGACAAATTGAAATTTATTACACAAATTAATAGAAGAGAGTAGAACAATTGTTCTTAACTTGACTTCTCATAATGTGGTATTTTGGGTATTTGACAAAATGCCAAGTAAATAAATGACACCTATACAAAAGCTCAAAAGGAATGATCAATTTGGCAGTTTAATTGCTTAACATAGTACTTTGGCGCCACACAGTGGAGAAATCCTGAAATCATAAAATTAATTATCAAAAATATTCATTTCTTGCCAACTTTTTTACAAAGTATTTTTCTTACTTCGATAAAGTGAATATCTCAATAGGTTTCAATACAGATTAAAAGTGAAATAAACAGCCTCTGAGACACATAATAAAATGAATAATCTTACAAAATGAACCTATTTAGTTTTGTTTAAATGATATTATAATGCTCAGAAATCAGAATCACATCATGCTATTTTAGGAGTTGAATTGTAAAACTATCCTGGAAAAAATTATAAACATTTATTAACTTGTCTATGGGTTGTAATAAAGCAAGAAATGAAACTTTTGAATGAGAATGCTTTAAAAGAATGATTTCCTCCCATACCATTTATTTTAGATTTCTTAAATCCTACTTTTGTTTTTATAAATAACTCAAGGCAGCAAACATACCTAATACTTCTTCCTCCTTCTAATTTCCCCATAAGCACAATGAGTTGGGCTGAAAGAGAGTGACTGATTCAAAGTCATTCAGCTGGCTTTTATGCCTAAGGCAGGACCAGAATAATACAATAATACAAACTATTACTGAGACATTTGAATAAGGTAATAAGGTAAAGGTAAATAAGAAACAGTTGACATAGGCATTTGAAGACTTGTGTGTCTTGGTTCCATTCCATTTTAATAATACTTCTTACATCTTAATTAAGCATCACTTCCTTAACTAAGTTGTAAATAAGTTGGCTTAAAATGTATACCTTTATTTAATGGCTAAAATGACAAACAAAATGCACCTCATTAAAAGGGAGCCCTAATATCTATTAAATACAAGAGAACAAAGAGGGTTACGAGAATCTTATCCACCTTGGACAGAAGACCAGAACTACTTGAAAATAAGTCTCTTTGGTTTATAATACTTACAATAGGACTTACAGTATTAAGCAAGAACCATGGTTGATACCTAGTGTTCAGATTCATAAACTGCACTAAGCCAAAACATTTGCTCATTCGTGGCCAAGTATTTTGTGAAACCGGTCATCATACTACATAAAAAAGTAGTTTATTATTCTCTACAAGCTTCAATGATGGTACTTTATTCAGTAAAAAGTGACTTGCGCTGATGTGCGATACAGCCAGCAAAAGGCTGTTCCAAATGGGTGAAACAGGATGGTGCTCTAACCGGCACCCTCGCTGAATTCAGTGAAACATAAGGCTGCTTGCTCTTTTAAGATCCATTCTGGTTTGTAGGATTTACCTTGCGCCAACGAGACTGACCTATATTAAGTACAGGATCTGATCTGAGGTTTGTTACAAACTCAACGCCATCCCAACAAGCGCAGAATTAATATTCTCGATCGCAGCATTAATATTACACCAATAAAGGAGAATATTTGTAGCTCAGGGTTGAAATGAGGGGATCCTTGATCTTCTCTGATCTTGGTTTTCTTGCAGATGTTTCAAATACCCAAACGAGGTAACATCATCAATGACTAGCACTAATGATGTTACCTAGTGTGGATCATGAAACGTCTGCAAGAAAACAACCAAGCTCAGTGAAGATCAAGGACCCCTCAGTACTATATTATAGTACTGCATCATTAATCCCATTGAGATTTAAATTGCGGGGTGATAAGCAAGCGCGGAACCCCAACAAGGCAACCTCCGACAGCACAGAATCCCACCCCCTTCTTCGAATCCCTACCGCGAGAGCCGATCTCTCGCTCTCTTTTCTGATTGGCGGGTGAAGCCGTCAGAGAGCCGTGGAGGCTGGACGAGCCTAAACAGAGGAGTCGCGTGCTCGTACGGCGTTCAACTCTACCCTTTCGCTCGTCTCAAGAAAAAGACGTAGCCGGCTGGGCTGCCCTTTCTTCAACCGCGCCCATGCCCCGCCCTTTTCGGCGGAGAGGCGGAGTTAGCAACCGGCTGTAGAGAGAAGGAGTTCCTGGCAAGGCCTGTCCGGAGGGTAAGTGTTGGGGGGGTGCTTGCTGAACGCGATGTGAGCGAAACACGCCTTTCCTTTATATCGGTTGTGTTCTCAGCAAGTGCTCGCCTGATGCACTGTGCCGCAGAGTAGCTCCTCGCTCTGTAGCACGTGAGGTTCTCGAACTCTGGATCGGTGAAGCGTGCAAACGATGCCTGGCTGAAACATGTCCCCTGAACGTAGCCTTTGCCTTTGACAGAGTCAAGTGTACGGAGTGCGGAGCTCTTTCACGGTTAGATCTGTAGCGGCGGGACATCTTTGGTATAGCCTGGATCAACAAAAAGAAATGCAGGCAGATTTGGAGCCACGAGGCGTAAATGAGCGCTGTCCTTTTCATGATAGTTTAGCACAGGGCTTTTCAACCTTTTCACCCATTGTACCACTTTTAGGTTATGGCAATATCCGAGTACCACCAGTCGCCTAGCAAGGTGGGGTGGGGGGGTGTTTGGTTTTTATTCCCCCCATCTGCTGGGTGGTTGCAGCAGGTTTTGGTCACTTCACATGACGCTGGACACTGTGACTGTCATAAATATGAATCAGTTGCCAAGCATCTGAATGTAAATCACAAGACCCTGGAGAGGCTGCAACATTCCAGCTGATCGGTGCTTCTTCTGGGCTCAGCAGAAGTGCCAGGATCAGTGCCGAGCTCCAGCTGGAGCCTGGCACTGATCCTGGCACTTCCACTGAGCCCTGACAGTCCTGAAGAAGCACCAATCAGCTGGAAAGCGGCACTGATCCTGGTGCTTCCGCTGAGTCCTGACAGCCCTGCAGCTCCAGCCATCTCTCGCTCAGGCTTGTGCGGTGCTGCCACTGGTTCAGCTCATTCCCCTCCCCCGCTACTACTTTTCTAGGATGGTCGTGTACCACCTGGCAGGTGCCAATGTACCACTGGTGGTACCCGTACCACTGGTTGAAAAGCCCTGGTTTAACACACAAACCAAAGCAAAGTATTTACCTTCAGAAGAAGATAAGATAATGTCATTTTTTTTTACTGTGAGCACACTGGCCCACATTAAAAATGAAATTTTGTTGCCTGCTCTCAAAAGAAAGTATATATCTTACCCATACACACACATAACACACACATACACATGCTACACACACACACACATATATCACTCCATTTTGAACACATAGTCAAAAGAGGAAACTTGAGAGTTCACAAGATTGATGTTATATGGGGCACAGAAACCACAGGTTTCTGATAAACTAATGTAAGAAACAAAAACAAAAAATCCCCCAAGTTTTCTAAAATGGGAAAAAGGGCTTCTAACACAACCCACCCCCACCTTATCACAAAGAATGGGATCAGGAAGACTAAGGTTTAGAATGGGTTTTTGGGTTATACTGAATGTCAGAAATATCAAACATTTTTAAGATATGTATGAAACAATCAGAAAATAATTGAACTGCTAGCCTTAAGTCATTTTTTGAATGGCTACCATTGAAACAGTTACAACTGCCTTTCTCAAATGATGGCATGTGATATTTTTAAAGCTTTATAGTCTCTTTACGTGTCATATCCTACTTCCAACATTGGCTTTATTCCATATATTTCTGGAGAGAAGTTGTCAGGTGCTAGTCAACGTGGTGCTTTGCTACCTTTTGGTTAAGGTCAGCAGCCTTGCTCCATTTTGTTTTAAGTAGAGTTTGTGTCTCTTGTAGAACTCACATGAATTCAAGAACATTTGAATTGGGAGGCTATAACAAGAGAAATCTAACATTTGCTGTGTTTCCAGCACAATAGCCGCAACAGAAATAATATCTAATATTTTTGCATCTCTTTCTGGTACCTGCTTTATGTATCAAGGTTGCTTGATGGGAAACTAGTTTCTTTCTATCCCTTGGTTTTACATGGTCATAATTATATTATTTTTCCATTATTTTTGTAATGTATTTTGTGCATGCATTTGGGGTGTTCTTCAGATAGTACAGGTAGTCCTTGTGTAATGACCACTTTGTTCAGCGACTGAAGTTGTGATGGCTTTGAATGAATTGTACTTATGACTGACAATCAGCTCACATTTAACAATGGTTGCAGCATCTTGCAATCATGTGACCACCATTTGTGACCTTTCCTGCTGGCTTCCCACAAGCAAAGTCATGGGGAAGCCAGCAGGGAAAAGTCACATTCCAGTAATAATAATAATAATAATAATAATAATAATAATAATAATAATAATAATAATAATAATAATAATAATAATAATAATAATAATAAAAAAAAAAAAATAAAAAAAAATTGGAAGGGACCTTGGAGGTCATCTAGTCCAACCCCCTGCTCAGGCAGGAAACCCTATACCAGTGGTTCTCAACCTTTTTAATGCCGCGACTCCCAACCGGTCGTAAGTCGAGGACTAAACCGGTTGTAAGTCGAGGACTAAACCGGTCATAAGTCGAGGACTAAACCGGTCGTAAGTCAAGGACTACCCAACCGGTCGTAAGTCGAGGACTTTCTCTGCCCGGGAGCGCCGCGCATGCGTGGTTCCGCCCCCTGCACCGGCCGAGCCGTAGCTGGCAAGCGGCAGAGACGGAGCAGGCCGACCACCAGCTGGCCCAGCCCAAGGGAGGTAAGGCACCCGCCGGAAAAGGGGGAAAAATGGCGGACAGCCTTGCTTGGCGACCCCCGTGAAATGGTCGATCGACCCCAAATGGGGTCGCGACCCATAGGTTGAGAACCGCTGCCCTATACCATTTCGGACAAATGGTTGTCCAGTCTCTTCTTAAAAACCTCCAGTGTTGGAGCATTCACCTCTTCTGGAGGCAGGTTGTTCCACTGGTTAATTGTTCTAACTGCCAGGAAGTTTCTCCTTAGTTCTAAGTTGCTTCTCTCCTTGATCGGTTTCCACCCGTTGCTCCTTGTCCTGCCTTCAGGCGCCTTGGAGAATAGCCTGACTCCCTCTTCTTTGTGGCAGCCCCTGAGATATTGGAACACTGCTATCATGTCCCCCCTCGCCCTTCTCTTCATTAAACCATTCACACGTTTCCCTGCCCAGCAGCCGCCAGTCCCAGTGCTGCTATGCCTTGCAGGTTATAGTACCCCCTCCTCTGGCTGGCAGCAGCCACTTACTTGCCTGACAGCCTGCTTGTAAACCACGTGGGACTCAATTAATGACTAACAATCTTTATTTAGTGTTAATCTTTGTTTATAGGCAGCAGGAAGTGCTGGGATTGCCTTTGCTAAGCTATGCAGTCATGTGATGTCTCATTTATAACTGTTTCCCTTAGTGATGGAAACTCTGGTCCCAATTATTCCCATTAAATGAGGACTACCTTTATATCAAGTGATAACCTCTACATCACCAGTGTCATACTTGATTGTGACGTATCATGACATTTTTTGCCTTTGTGGAGCCGGGGTGGGCGTGGCCTGTGTGTGATGCATCCGGCTCATGGGCCGCCAGTTTGACACCCGTGCTCTATATCATGAAACAGGAAGAAATAGTAATGTAGAAAAAAGGTAGAAATGAAATGCTATGGCATAAATCATAAAACATGATATTTCCAAACTGTACATAGAGAAATAAAACAGGATAACATGTAGGCTTTCATTCTAGGGGAAACTTGTTAATAAGTATTTGTTAAACCTGAAAATTAGGTAATCTGTATTGATTAGTTTTGTTACTATATTGCTCACGTGGATTTACTCTCAGGAAAATATTTCAGAAGTAAGATGCTGATATCCTCATCTGGAATCTTGGCTTTAAACTTCTGACTGGTGGACCTTTGTGGATTTTATTTTGATTGAGTTTGTGTATTTCAGGTGGAAATAGTGGCTAATGAAGTCTGAATGAAAATCTTGCCTAAACCCTTTTCTCCAGAGTATATAGAAATAAGGTAGACAAAGATTTTGCAAAGTATAAGTCTGAATTAAAAAGACTTCATTTTTAAATTTAAACCAATGTTCTAATATATCAAATATATTATTCTTTAATAGGTGATTCTTTAATCTACCAAAATGGTTTTAAAGAAGAAGAAAGAAATTCAGGTTGATAGCTTTGTTCTTGAATACCAACAGCTTGAAAGACTTCGCTGTAAGTATAATTAAGTTGCTTAATTTGTCTCTGTAGATATATTTTAGTGGTGCTATAATGACTTTTTTAAAACTAATTTCCCTTGTGGGTACATTTTGAATTAAACATGAGAATATCAGCCTTTTTGTGTCTACATGTCTATATGCCTTTTCTACCCCAATTTTAAAAAAAAGTTTTTCCTCAGTGAAAAGCAAATTAGAGAAATTATAAAATGTGTGATGTTAAAAAAATGTTCTGTATTAAAGATATGCTTGAAATGCCCTTCCGACTTTCTGGTTTTCTGAAGCAGGTTGGTCATTCAGCTTTGAATGGGCTATTTATATTAGTAATGAACAAGTCTCGCTCAATATTGTGTTGCATTTAAATTCTATTTCTTAAGGGTAACATTTGGACAATCAATTCTGGTCTATCTGAATTGAAGTGCTGTTTGCAGAGGAGTGATGTCATAGGGAGCATACATGCTCAACAATACCTATGCTGTTGTTATCTGGATCATTTATATCCTCAACATTAATAGTGCTGATTAGTTTTTTGATTTGTGCTGAATTCTACACTGTTCAGGTGGGTTTATTCTCAAGAAAGTGTTCAGAAAAATAAGGTCATGAAAAGGTGTACTGTTTGAATGCAGCCCTGTATAAGGGAGGAGGTAGGAAATAGCTTTTGTCATGTAGACTATTGAACTATTAAAACATTTTTGCTTTCTAAATGTGCAGCTTTTGCAGATGGTGAAGGACAAAACCTGGCTTCTCTATTATTGCAGTGTGCACAGTTGACGGATGGCATTCAGCAAATTAATTTGATCAAACAGGTTTGATTTTAATTATACTAGTAAAAAGAATAACATGGAATTAGGTTAAATGCATGCTATATAGTCTTATTTACATACAAATAAAAAATGAGCACAGTTGTGCACATGAATTTCACTTTGGCCATGTTATTATCCTTCCTACAAATGAGAAAATCAAATTGTTATTCCTTAACATTTATTTGATGCTAGATCATGTATTTGTTTAATTTGAGGGCTACATCCAATATTGCATGACTAGACGTTGCTGATGACATAGAGCATCCTGTTGGTTTTTGATCTCAGTATTGACTTAAGAATCTTCCCAGTCTTTAATCTGGAATGCACATTGGTGGTGCCAGGAAGTGAGAGGAATCTGTTTTTTATTCTTTGTTGGACACCATTGTTGGATCCAATTATTACTCTACAATTTAAAATAGAGTGGTGGAAACAAATGTTACTTTTAAAACAGTGAATACTGTTTATAAGTTCATACTTATATACTGTTACTATTGCAAGATATATTATCTTACTGTTAAATGTTGTCACCTAGTGGAAACTTGCAAATGTGCTTTTTTCATAGCTATTTGGAAAGATCATTTGGAATAGTCTTCCATCCAAGATTCAAGGGGACTGTTTCCTTTTAGCTTTCTGAAAGGCCATGAAGATCTTGGTTTTTATTCCAAATATGGTCTAGGATGGGTTTGAGTCAAGTAGTTAACAATATAGGAGGTTCTGTTTCCTTGGTGGAGAGGATATGATGTATTTTAATATTATTATTTGCTGTGAACTGCCTAGGATGTGAGATAGACATATTAGCCCAGTGAGAAAGTAAGTTATTTTCTATGCTGGTTAGCAGCTAATTTCATATTAGAGATGTTTAATAGAATTACCTATATGCCTGAAAATGCAAGGCATTTGATTCATGAATTGCAAGAATAAAAGTCAAGAAGGAGCAGTATTTCATCTTTTAAGATTATCCAAATTATTATGTAGTCTGACCTTCCCCAGCCTGGCACTTTCCAAGTATGTTGGAACTATAGCTTCCATAGTAGTCACTGTTGAAATGGTTGCTTCAGCAAAGTTGAAGGATATCTACTTGGGAAAGGCTGATAAATATGAATAGCAAAATCAAATTTGTTAATTTGCGTGAATTATAGTGATTGGTGGAAAAGATGAAACCAGTAAGAAACATAAGGTTATTTTCATGCTTGGAAGAATTCTGATAAAGGTGTTAAATTAATATTAAGAATGTAAAAAGTAAAAGATTATATCCTGACTTAAAATGTTCAATAAAGATTAAGAATGCTCAGTGATATCCAAGGGGTTGGGAGACAGATGGAAATTTACACAGAAGGGATTAGAAATAAATATTCTGAAATGGTTCTGAAATAAATAAGCCTGATCGGGTAGAACACTGACCTGGAGTTTCCCATACGCTAATGTTTTGTTGCAGGTTATGTTTCTATTATACATTCTGTTTTGCATTCTGTTAATACATACTGTGCTTCTTACTGACTTTTACATAAACCTGATATATACATTACACACAACACACAAACACCTATGTATATTTTGAAAAAAATGCAAGTTACATTATTTTTATTTTTGTCATCTGTAGATTGTGCCTTTACTGGAAAAGATGGACTCCAAGTCTTCATGTAATAACATGGTTAAAAGTTGTTTAGATATTTTGGGGATAACATTCTTATCTTTGGATATAAAGAACCCTTTGAAAAAAGTTCTAGCAAGGTATTAGTCAAATGTTATACTAAGAAAGTGCTTGATGTTTTTGTGATGGTCTTCAGGGGAACATGGATATTGAGAAAATGAATGATATAAATGGTGGTGGACTTTATATGACATAAAAGATTTTGTATGAGATATAAATTTTAGAAATGATTAAAATATTAGTCATATTCATTGAGATGTTCTTGACTTTATAATCCTATTCTTTACCTTCAGTCTTTATTGATATGTGTTGAAATGTACTCACTAAATCTTAAAGGTAGAGATATTACATATGATGTAGTAATATAAACCTTAGTTAAAGAATTTTGTGATATTCAGCAAATTACGAATGAAGGTGAATATACGTGTCCCAGGATAATGTTGCAGGATCCAATCTGGGTCCGTCACCGGGACCAAGGTTTTTGTCTTTTGAGCTTTTGGACTCATGCTAGAGTCCATCTTTAGGGAATGTCTCTCTAGCTAGCAAATTGCTTGCCTTCAGATAAATTACTGATTATATTTCCAAATCCTCTAATATTTACATTTTTTGGGAAAGTGTAATGGACTGTGTAATTTCAAAGATGCAAGACAGTAAACATTTGATGAAATGAAATGTTTAACTGAAGATCTGCTTTTTCTGTATATGTTCCATTTTCCTTTGATTTCTTTTGAAGTCTCGTATCAAAACCAGTAAAACAAAATAGTGCTGAAGAGATTGTGGTGCTCAGACAGAAATATGGTTTTTAACTTAAAACTTTTAATATTTACATTTTAATGTGGCAATGCTTTTTTTTTATCTACAGTTGCCTGAATGACCTTCCAGAACTGCTTGTAGCAGAAGCTACAGATAGTTTTGTTGTCTGCCTTAAAGAAGAATTAGCAGCTACAAACTTCTCCTGCATTAGAAAAACTATAGATAATCTTGCTTCTTGTGTGGAACTTATAAATATAGGTATGATTCATTTTTAAAATATGTTATATGTTAAAAAAATATTTTTTTGATTAGTCAGTATAAGATGCTAAAATGTGTACTTGATTTTTTCAGGTAAATCAAGTGTGACTATACTATTCAAAGAAGGTAAATGCTTGGTACCTCTTCTTGGGTTGGAATGTTCTGTTAATGAGAGAAAAATATGAGATGAAAATGCTTCATACCAGTCTCTATAGGAAGCATTTTTCTGTTGCTAAGTAGGTCGATAATTAAAAGCATTTTCTATATCTTGAGATATTACAGTTTTTAAATAAAGATAGGTTCTTGACTGGAAGGATTTCCTTTCTGAAAATCAGTTGTCTGTCTTCCTGCAGCCAGTTCTAGAGTTCTCAAATTCTGTAGGGAGGCACAGGTGGAGATTGTGGGTGGAAGGAAATATGTATAAGAGGAAATGCTATTGCACAATCTATGTCGGCTTACGTATATAACATTGGATTTTATCTCTTCATAATGGGTAGATTTATAGTAACAGGCAGTCTTTCAGACATTCAGATGCTGTATAACTATCCTACTACAGGTAGTCCTTGCTTAACAACCATTTGTTCAATGACTGTTCAAAGTTAAGATGGCACTAAGAAAGGAGACTTATGACTGGTCCTCAAAATTGTGACTGGTGCAGCATCCCTGCAGTCATATGATTGTGATTTGGGCACTTGGCAACCAGGACATACTTACAGTGGTTGCAGCATTCCACACTCGTGATCACCTTTTGGAGGCTTCGCAGCTGGCTTCCGACAAGCAGTGTCAATAGAGAAGCCGGAAGAAGTTGCAAGTCATGATCACATGATGTTACACTTAATGAACTGTGATGATTTGCATAACCACTGCTAGGTGGAACTGATATTGTAAGTCAGCACAGTTCTGTGATGTTTTCTGTGACCGTGCTCCATAGCAACAGAGTTCCAGGCCCCAATTGCAGTTGGTAAGTGAGGATTATCTGTATATACAGTACTTGAGCAACATGCGGAACACTTCACTGAGTTCAGTATGGATATTACAGTTGAAGGTTAAGGATGAGGATATTGAAAGCTCTCTCAATTCTCAATTCTAATTTATATGTTTTTTTAAAACTATATTTCCATAGCTCTTCAATTCCTGTTGAAATCTGTACTTAAAATACAAGAAGAAAGTCGGTAAGGGCCAGTACTCAAGCTACAATGTGGAGAGACTGTGAAAAATGTAAAATGCAAACTTAAAGATTATTTGGGAGAATACCTTCTTTTAGCTGTAGCAATCTGATATTTATATACAGCATATTCCTCAAGTTAAAATTGTGCTTTGTTTGGTTTAGTGGTATAAAGTTTATCAAAACTGTTTTGAAATTTAAGTGATAACATTTTTGAATTCTGTATCTATTTAGATATTCTGCATATTCTTCCCAACAATTTTGGACTTTTATTCAAGGTTGGGAAAGTTTGCTCCCAAAATCTACTTTGGTGGTTAAAAGACCTCAGAAGCAGATTTGAAACAGTAATTTGTTTTATATATATCTTTTTAAAGGAAATTCAGTGGAAATCACATTGCTCAAACTCGGTTGATGCATGATTTGCTTATGGGAATTAAAGTTTCCATGACATTGATCCAGAAAGTTCTGGAAAATATACAAAGATGTTTTTGGAAGAAATTGGATTCTCCCATTTGGCAATGTATGTGCGGACTTCTGAACAACTTTATATGCTTCTTAAACAATGGTAAATAGTTCTAATAATTTAAGTTTTTAAAGCTATTTTATTGTTTATTGGTCATTGGCCATTAATAACAAGTCTGAAGAATGTGAGATACTTATTTAATGATTTTCACCCCCTCATTTAAAATTTTCTCCATAAGTTTATTTCAAAAGAGAGAGAAAGCTAAACTCAGGAATAAGAATCTTTATATTAAAATAATGTCACTCTTGCTTATTTTTTTTTTTAACTTGGATTGGATTTAAAAATTTCTATGAATGCAATTCTACTTGCAAAAAGGATACAGGATACCTTACGTACCAACTATCTTTTTAGTGACTGTTCAAAGTTATAATAGTTATAATAAAAGACACCTTTGAAACCAATCTTCATAACTAGCAGAATTAATGGAGAATGCAGATGTGAAATTGCACGTTGCTGTCATGTGATGTCTCATTTAACGACCACTGTGATTGCTTAACAATGGAAGTGATATCATAAGTCTGGCACGGTCGTGTGCTTTTTTGCTTAATGACTGGAGCGCTTTTTTGCTTAGTGACTGGTATGATTATGAGAATTAGCATGTTAGATGCAATAGAAAAAATATAGTAGGAATTACCTTATTATTTCAGAAAAGCAGGATGGTACTCAAGTACTTTAAACGCCATTTATAATTCTAGTATCTTTTTCTTTTATTTAGAAGACCTTCTGCAAACAGTCCAGACTTCAGCGGGATTGGCTGTTGTTCTTTTTATTAAGACTATGTTTGAACCTGTTGAGAGGTTACCTTGCTTGGTTAGTGTGTTTCTTTTGAAAAAAGTAAAAATATGTATAAAATTAATTTTGAATGTGTATTTGAAACATTAAGCTAATTGAAGAAAGAGAAGTAACTGAAAGAGTAGCCATTTTTATACTAGTTAAAAGTTTCATGTTTTATGTAAATTCTGCTACAGTGCAATAAGATAACATTTAACTATAAGCTGCTTTGGGACAAGATAAAATTTACTTGGAAGTTAATCCCAGTGAATTCACAGGGACAATTATCAGTTGATTTTTTTAAAAATTGCAGCTATAATCTTGGTCCCACAGATTTACTCAACCTATGGATCTGAATTTTGACAATGAGTAAATGCAATCCTATACAGATTTGGGGATAGCCTATAATGCACCTTGAAAAGGCATGTGCTTGGGGAGTAAAAATTGATACAAATAGCAATCATAAATACTATATAGAACAGGACAGCTTTGGAAACATACAGTATGTACTATTTGAAATTTAGCTTCATAATTTCCATTCATTGTCAGCTGTATAAGAAATAACTTTTGCATTTTGCCAGTTTTATTGTAAATCCTTGCCTTCCAGTAATCTGGTAAACCATACTTTTGGGTTTTTTCCCCCTCTTATATGATAGTTATATTCCATTGCTTTTTTTTTGCAGATCAGTGACTTGATTTGTGGCTTATTAAATTGTTCTGATGTGCCAAAGTGGTTTGTGGTCAGCTGTGGTGGTCTTTGTACTGCTGAACTTTCTGACTCAGTCCTCCTTTTTCTTTGCCATGGAGCACTTGCTATGTTAGATTGGAAAGATCACAGCATGGAAGAGAATGCAGAGAAACTACTCTTGGATATAGCCTCTGTTTTGTTGACCTTAAGCACACGGTAAAATCTATTTTTATAGTTTTAATAATATAAATGAAACTCAGATTCTTCATTGACAAGGTTCAACTTGCACTGTAAATCCTATGAATATTGAAATACAACATTAAAGAGAATATTTAGAGCCAGTGTGAATTTAGTAATTGAAATTCTGGTCTAGAAACCAGAACTCTATGGGTTCTAGACTGCCTTTTGCATGAAAGCTGGCTAGAGAGAGTGTCATAGAATTGTTATTGTAGAGAAAATAGGCAGAAATTATCTGTAAATGCCTCCCCATGGCTACAGTCTTGTGTCTGCTTATCTGGAATTAAGCACTGTTAACTTCATGGGGAAATGGTTTTGTCTAAGACAATGGGGCTGATTTGGCCTATTTTTTCCCTTTCTACCACTTCTTTTCTACAGAGTTCCCTAATCTTCTGAAGTACTTTAGGCAGTCAGAGGGTAAGGGAGAAGAGAGGGAGAGCTGTATCTATACATTGATATTTTTCATTAACAGCTGTATACAATATAATGCCCCAGCCATGATAGAAAAGAGACTTGCATAAGCATTTTTAAATTTCATCTTCAGCCAGAGTTGAACTTGAAACTAGTCTGAAACCAATTTGAAGTTATTTTTAGACTGGATAGTTTGCTAAACTGGGGGAAATTTTAGAAATATGTAGAATCATATGCTAAAGGGAAACCTTAGAAAAATATATACACCATTTATTATATTTCCCCCCAAACATATTTGTCCTGATCTTCTGTTAGAAAAGCTGTCAGAATATGGGCATCTACATTGGGGACAAGGGAGGAGTCAGCTGGTCTTCCAGATTTCAGTTCTTTTTTTTTTTTAAGTGTCAAATTCTAGTCTTTCTAAAGAAGATAAGGTGACAAAGGGTAGGTTATGTCAATAAAGCAGTAGTGCAGTATTATGCAATCTCTTGCCAGTTGAATTTTTAAATGGATAAGTGAGTGGGCAGACAGGTTAAAGTTGACTGCTAACAAAGCAATACATTAGGGACTTAGGGAGTTTTGTTTATGTGTATAGGGTATTAAGCAAAACAAACTTTGCATTTCTGTTTCTTTCTGGCTGGGCCCTTTTTCTCATTCTAAGCTGGGTTCTGCATTAATGACTAACTATGTCTTCATGGAATCACCCAGCTATTGTGCCATAAAAACTGTCCTTATTACTGTTACATGAGCACAATGATATTGGATTTTTGTAGAAAATATCATGTAGTTGGTCAGAAGTTTTTTTTTTTCTCAAGCTGTGTAAAGGACTTTATAGTGAATATGCCAAAGTCTCTTTTCTTTCACCTGTAAAACACAAAATGGGTGGCACTATATAGTTAAATGAAATCAAAAAGTATTTTCTTTAGCTTTATTTATTGTCACTTACTTTGTAGAGGCACTTAAGATGGTCCAACGATTGTTTGAACTCCCCTTTTTTTTTTACTTACAAGGAGCACCTTTACCAACTTACATTAAGCATCAATTTGTTTTTCTTCATCCAGTTTATAGAAGATACTAGG